GGGACGAAGGAGGTCTTCGTCGACATGGGGCCGAGCGGCGACGTTAAACACGTGCGCGGCTTCAATGGGGCGCTGCAGGACGTCAAGGGACGGGGCACGGTTGCGCTGCAAGGGGAGGCCGGGAAGCGGGTGCTCATCCCCGACGTGCTGTACGTCCTCGGCGTGCACGCGAACCTGCTGTTATCCGGCCAGCTGAAGGAACACGGCGTGAAGCTGAAGGAGGACGGCGACGGCATGCTGCTCGTCTCGGCGACGGGCGACGTGCTTGGTCGCGCAACGTACTCCGGCCGGGTCCTCTGCACCGACCTGCGTCCCTGCTCGGTGTCGACTGCAGCGGAGGAAGTGGCTTTACGGGCCATCGTCTCGGCGACGAAGGCGACGCCGGACAGACTGCACGCGCCTCGTCGGTATTGACACCATTCTGAGCTCGGCGAAGCACGAAGTCGCCACCGGGCTGGACCTCAAGTCGGCGTCCGGCGCTGCCTCGCCTTGCGTTTCGTGCGTCGGTGGGAAGCTGGCGCGGCACACCTTCCCCGACAAAGGCTCCGACGCCAAGGACGCTCTGGCCGTCGTGCACATCGACCTGTGCGGGCCGTTTCGCGTGGCTGCCAAGGACGGCAGCCTGTACTTCTTGCTGCTGAAGGACCGCAAGACCCGCTACGTGTGGGTGCGGCCGGTCGCCAAGAAGTCAGACGTGCTGCTGGAGTTCCAGAAGTGGCTGGATGCTGGGAAGCCGACGATCCTGAGGGTGGACAACAAGTTGGCCATCACAGTCGCCGAGGGCATGGGGTTGACGGGCAACCTCAAGCACATGGAGCGGCGACAGGCCTGGCTACAGCACATGGTGAAGCGGGGGAAGTTTGCGTTGCAGTACATCCCGACCGCTGAGCAGCCGGCCGACTTCCTCACGAAGGCGCTGCACTATCCGGCTTTCAACCGGTGCTCCGTCGCCATCGGCCAGGTGCGCTTGGCCGACGTGGGCGACGAAGTCGACGAAGTGCAGCAGTAGGTGCCATGCCCTCTTGCATGGCTGGTGCGGTGACCGGCGTGCTGTGCGTTGTGTGCACGCCGACGGGCTATTCTCCGAGCAGTACTGCCGTGTGGGCCGGGGGAGGGGCCCAAGCGTGAACGCGGCAGGGGAGTGTCAACAGGAGTTGTGTTTGGCCCCGTCCTCGCTTGGGCGGAGCCGACCGTGGGAGCCACGAAATTGCAGTGGCCCGTGGGAGCCACGAAATTGCAGTGGTCCGTGGGAGCCACGAAATCGTGGGGGACCGCGGAGCCACGAAATCGTGGGGGACCGCGGAGCCACGAAATCGTGGGGGACCGCGGAGGCGGGGGATTGTGGAGCCACGAAATCACGGGGGATCGTGGATCCACGAAACCGCGGAGGACCGCGGTGACCGAGAAACCGCGGGAGGACCGCGAAGTACCCGGTCAACCAGGATACCCGGGCGACGTACGCGAAAGTCGCCGGGGATGTTATCTACGCTGGCGATTTCGGGGGTGGTATCCCGAGGTCGACGTGGCTGGTGGGCGCCGTCACGGGCGAAGTGTCTGCGCTGGGCGTGTGACGGGGAATTGGGCGCCAACCTGCTGCACGCACCTGCGAAGCTGGTGCACCGTTGTCCCGCGGATGCGACGCTGTGCAGCCGACATACTGCAGCGTTGGCGCACCGCGGACTTGCAACGTTGGCAAGCCGCGACTCTGCTCTGCTGGAGCGCGGTCGACAGAGTTGTGCTGGCACGCGGTCGACCGTGCTGCGCTGGCAGTGGACCAGCAAGCCTTGCTAGGTCTGATGTAGTCAGTGTTGCCAATGTTGATGTAATTCATTCTGAACTTTCTTGTTGTGATGATTTCCTAGTGAAACTCTTGCAAATTTTCCCCGTGGACTAGCAAGCAGTGTTAGCACTTGGAAACGACTAAGGAACGAACGAACGCAGAGATCACACGAGCACCCGTGCCTAGCCCGTAGTCTAGCTCCCGTTGTACTAGTTATCTCCGCAATCAGAGCGTATGAGATTGTAAGAGAGGGGATGCGAGTATATATGATAGTGGATGGAAGGGTATGAGAGTGTATGATAGTGTAGAAGAGGGGATGAGAGGGTATGAGAGGGGATGAGAGTGTATGAGAGTGTATGAGAGGGGATGAGAGTGTATGAGAGTGTCCGAAAAGAGATCTCTTTTGTATATGATAGGGTGTGATGGGGGATGAGAGGGGATGAAAGGGGATGAAAGTGAATGAGAGGGGATGAGAGTGGATGAGAGTGTATATGATAGTGAATGGGAGGGTATGAGAGTGTATGAGGAGGGATGAGACTGGATGAGTATGTATGGGAGAGTATGAGAGGAGATGAGAGTGTATATGATAGTGGATGGAAGGGTATGAGAGTGTATGAGAGTGTATGAGAGGGGATGAGAGGGGATGAGAGGGGATGAGAGGGGATGAGAGGGGATGAGAGTGTATGAGAGTGAACGGGAGTGTATGAGGGTGTATGAGTGTGTATGGGAGTGTAAGAGAGGGGATTATGGTGTGTTTGATAGTGTATGAGAGGGTATGAGAGCTCATGAGAAGGTATGAGAGTGTACGAGAGGGGTTGAGGGGGTGAGAGTGTACGAGAGTGGATAGGAGTGTATGGTACGGGATGAGAGTGGAGGAGAGTGATGAGAATGGTTGAGAGTGTATGAGAGTGTATGAGAGTGAATGAGAGGGGTGAGAAGGGATGAGAGTGGATGCGTGGGGATGAGCATCACAAATTTGTGTGCCCCCCGTACTAAGTACTTATAGGTTCTGCTATATTGTAGATACGGAGTTCTATAGAGTAAATTGCTTGTAGCAGAACCTATAAGTACATAGTACAGGAGCGAACATTTTTGGGATGAGAGGGGATGAGAGGGGATGAAATTGCATGAGAGGGGATGAAAGTGTATGAGAGTGTATGAGAGTATATTAGAGTGGGTGAGAGGGATGGAGTAGGGATAAGAGTGTATGATAGGGGATGAGAATGTATGATAGGGGATGAGAATGTATGATAGGGGATGAGAGTGTCAGGGGACTAGAGAGGGATAGGGAGGGGACTCAATGTAACTAGAAGGGAATAGAGAGCAGCCAAGCACGGGATAGCATGTAAGAAAAGCCTGGCACGAGAGAGGGTATTGCCATTTTTGAGGTTTTGGCCGAGGATGACACGGCATGTGAGGGAGTGAGGAAAGATGGGTAGGAGACGAAAGAGCATGGATGCCCTGCAGCGACGGGCTGGCGGCTTGGCGCATCACGGTGGCGGATCGTCGTGATGCGACCAGCAGGGTGGCCGCTTTGCGCATTGCGACAGCGGCGGCCCCGTCGGCGCGATGAAGCGGAGCGGCCAAAAGCTGGCCGCATTGCGCAATGCGGCGAAGGCGGCCCGGTCGGCGTGAAGCGCCGAGCGTGGCCGCAATGCACATCGCGGCGGCGGCTGCTCCTTACCATCTCAATGCATCACGCGACGATCGGGCCCGATATGCGTGACGCGCGGAGCGGCGCGCCGGCCGCTGGGCGCATCGACACAGTGGTCTGGCCGATTTTATTTAAGTATATTATTAGTAACGTCAACGGATGGGAAAATGCTTTTTTGCAAGGCACGCACCGTTGATAGACGTCAGGTGCTTAGAACGAGCACCTTGGATGCGTGACGAGGAAGACCGTTGGCGAATGTTATAGCTACTAGCGTGAGGTATGGCTGGTGGCGCGAGCTAGAGAGGTGTGGCGGGAAGTGAGTTAGTCGATGAAACTTGGTTGGAACCGTAGCGGGTAGGAGGGTGTACAACACGTCGGATCGTGATGTGGTTACGGTGGGCTGGTGGCTCGACGGTATAGGCGTACATCAAACCTCTTCGCACGATTTGGCGCGGGCGGGAAATTGGCCTGGTTTCAGAAATTTCTGGCGGTTGTTTCATGTGTTACCATTCGCGCGGTTTTCTAGCTGTTGTTAGAGACTGATTCCGTGACCGCACTTACCAAGCCCGTCAGGATACTCGATACTATTACAATACATTTTTTTTTTACCATTGACGTTATCGAGTCACATTATGGTTACTTATGGCATATTTTCCCTTGTTGACTCCGACCCTAAGGGTGTGTAAAATGGTAACGACCAAACCATTTTTCGCCCTTTGCGCGTTTCTGGCGATTGTGTTTCGTGGGGCATTCTCTGCAAACCATCTCCGTTATTGAAAGCAAATTCTTTTATTCTTACTACTGTATTCGAACGGGGTATGTAATACAGGGGGCTCGGAGGCCTATACAAGAGTGTTTAACAAAGCATTAAGCTTAGACGAGCACAAAGTTTTTTTCCCATCGCTGAGGAAACATCTCTACGTATGTCTCAAAATGCAGTGCGTCCAATTTATTTACAGAATACCCTGCTTTTTTGTCAAATTGGAATAATTACCCTAAACGGCGTAACCCTAATTCCCTGCAATCGCCAAAACGCCCAACTGAACGACCATAGCGTCTGGTTGTTACAATTTTACACGCCCTAAAGCGTGAGCGCCACGCTGTACAGTATCGAGCTTGGCGGATTACTTTCTGGTTTATTTCACACAGCAATTTCGGATCTTCATCCCCCCCCTGTGCAATCACCGGAATTTGTTTCCCCACAGTAATTTCACAACCCTCCAGCTAATGAAATTTCTGCGGCTGGGTTTCGGGGATATGAAATATCGAGTATAAAGTGTACACCACCTGGCTTTCGACAACCTCGTGCCCATATCCACGTTGTATAAGGGAAAGAAACCCCACACACGGCCATTTCTTGCGACAAGAATTGAGAGCCATCTTGTTGCTGTGAAATAGGCCATCGCTCGCGTCGCGAGTCCGCTTTTCTTGTTTCAACATGCGCCTTCTGGAATTAACTCAGTCACTCTGCTCCGCACTGCGGCCCGGCCATGTGCCTTATATCCTCTTCTGGAACAGTAGTAGTTATCGCGAACTATGGCTCACGCCACGCGCACGCGGTCAACTATGCGTCGCTTCTCTCGTCGACTGCCTCAAGTTGTCGTCTTTTTCCTCATACTCTCGCCGGCCCCAACCACAGCGCCGAACGAGTCCAGCAACACTTTAGGAAGGGATGATGTCCCCCCCGATGCCACCGACGTCCCCCCCGATGTGAGCGCCGTTCCCCCCGATGCCAGCGCCGTCCCCCCCGATGTGAGCGCCGTTCCCCCCGATGCCAGCGCCGTCCCCCCCGATGCCAGCGTCGTCCCCCCCGATGCCGTCGACGTCCCCCCCGATGCCAGCGCCGTCCCCCCCGATGCCGTCGACGTCCCCCCCGATCCCACCGACGTCCCCCCAGATGCGAGCGACGTCCCCGCGGATGCGAGCGTGGGTGGCAGCTTGGACGAGGAGGGGTACATGGAGGCGACACCGGAGGTGAAGCAGCTGGTGGCGCGGCTGGAGCGGGTGGCGGGGACCATCAAGAACCCCTGGGAGGTCCTCATGCACCTCGACCAACTCTTCGCCGCTGACGCGCCCACCGCAACCCTGAGCGCCGCCACTCCCTCTGGCGCCGTGGGAGCAGCGAGCTCGAAGGTGTCGCCTCTGGCGACTGGCCCGTGCCCTGCGACCAAAGCGCAGATGCTCAAGGAGGTGTCGCGGCTGGCGTGGAGGCTCCACTTCCGCCCCGTCAAGTACACCATCATGGGGCGCTTCTTCAGGAAGATCGCCATCAACGCCAGTGAGCCTTCTCCTGTCTCTTCCTACTGGCATCCGCTTAACAATCAAAGAAGGAACCCTTACGATATTTTGCTTCGTTTTAAGTCCTCCCACCTTTGTTGCATGGCACTTGTGGTGGTGACTGAGCAGAGAAGTACAACAGTGACCTGAGGTACCTGGGGTGCCGCACGTACCTGATACCGTCCAACTTTGCGTTCATGAGCATGATCGCCAAAAGCATGAACAACGCCACGTACCTGCTGCTGGCGCCGCTCTACAACACCATCAACGCCACGTACCACTTCAACAAGCTGCGGCGCATGCGGCACGGCGCCACCATGCCCACGCTCATCCCCGGGTACCCCATCGCCAAGTACTTCACGCCCGTCACCCCCCTCGCACTCCTCACCTTGGGCGGCTCCATCGTCGCTGTCGGCACGCCCGGCGCCAAGACGGTAATGGCACGCCTTGGGTGGGCGCAGATTAAGGACCGTGATCTTCACTGTGGGAAGTACATGGCAGCACACGGCGTGAGCACCCTGGTCTATCCGCGCATTAAGATCCCCAAGTGACCCACTGCTCCAGGGCTTACCCACCCACCCGTAGTCATTAGCTGTTAAGCCATAGAAGTTTCCTTCCCTACGAGGCCGTAGCTGAGAATTGGAGGGTTTGGTTGCTACGGTACTCTTGTCTCTAGTTGCTATGGTACTCTTGAGGTCCCTCGACCCTTGATTGCTCAGCATGATACGTAGGTACCGGTAGGTACCCTCTAGCTAGCAATACCGGTATTTAGCAGTTGGATTGCCTATTTGGTAATGTTTTGGCTTGAGCAGATTCTGTGCCACATTGTCACATTTCAGAAACACCTACTTAGGGTACCAATATGCCCCGGCAATTACCAGCCACACCCTAGGTACATTATCAAAAAGCAGCAATCTCTATTCCCGTGTCTTCAAGCTCAGAAGTCCATAACAGTCGCCACACCATCCACCAGCCCATACAGCCTGTCAACGCCATGAATATCCACCCGATTTTCACTATTCAGCAGCTGCGGGCAATCCCTCAACCCCCGTCAGCCCCCGGATAGAAGCGCCCCTGGGGTTGTAATAAAACACTGTTTTTTAGGGGGTGCGCTTATAATCGAGGATTTTTATAAGCGCCGGCGACTATATAATGGCAAATATGAAATATGTTTTTTTACATGAAAATGAAGCGTTTTCAAAAGGGGATTCTATCCACATCCATAACGTTCGAATCCGTGCATGAAAAACGCGTCAAATGGCCAACAAGGCGTGGCATCACTGGAGCCACGCCTTGTTGGCCTGGCCAGATTCATCGGACGTGAATCTGGCGCATGCCAGCGCACACGTAACATTGAGTAAACTGCCCAATCAGGGTCCACCGCCGAGCCAACCACGACGCTGAAAACCACGAACTGGGCATATGCGGCAAGATTCCTTGCCGCATATGCCCCCACCTCACCACATCAGCTCCTCTGCGGGGAGATCTTGACAGTATAGTCTCTCTCCCTGCAGAGGAACTCGGGCCGCGAAGTTGGAGGGGTCTCGGGCGAGGGCTTCAAACAGCCCTCATTCTCACCGTTTTTTCCAGGTTTCTTGTTTTCTCTCGGCCTGCCTCTGCGATGGCGGGCCTTCCAGGCACCCATTTTCTTTTCAACCGCCGAGGTGCTGCTGCCAAGACTCCCGATTACACTCAGTGGCAGAGTCGCCCAGCTCCCGTACCTCCTTCTCCTCCTGCGCCTCCTGCTCCTCCTGCGCCTCCTGCTCCTCCTGCGCCTCCTGCTCCTCCCGCTCCTCCTAACGTCGTCATCAACGGTGTGCCCGTTCTGCAGCTTCTCCCTCCCGGCTACTCGGCTTTCGACGCTTACATCTCCGAGCCCGAGCCCGAGCCCCAGCCCGCGCCCGAGCCCGAGCCCGAGCCCGAGCCCGAGCCCGAGCGCAGCGACGAAGACGAAACCAGTCCCGGTCTTTCGCCACGCTGGGGAGACCCGGAAGACTGCCCGCACGACGAGTCCGCCACCGGTGCCGAAGATGACGTTGAGTGGTGGGCGGCCGACGGTCTTCCCGAGGACTTGCCTGTCCCAAGTTTTCCCCCGCCCAACAAAAAAAGGCCCCACCCCTCCACCCAGAATCGTGATGCCCGCCCCCCGTCTCCCAAGAGCAGGCGCTCAACGCACAAGCGCCACTCCTACACTTCTCAGGAGAAGCTACACTGGATTTCTCAGCTGGAGTCCGGTGCTGTGAGTGTGCGGAAGATGGCGCGCGACACTGGTATCTCCCGAAAGTCCCTGGCAGAATGGAAATCGCGGAAGGGTGAGCCGGAGGGCGCGCATGGGGCTCGCAAGCGTCTTCACGGGCGTGGTCGGTCATCGTGGTACCGCGACATGGAGATCCAGGTCTACTCAAGAGTACTTGCCGCCCGTAAAAAGTGCCTCGCAGTGTCGGTCGGCCGCCTGCAGCAGTGGTCGCGAGAGGTGATGAAGAGGCTGCATCCTGAGGTAAAGTGGGCTGGATCCCAGAGGTGGACCGAGCGTTTTCGGCGCCGCTGGAATCTCACCACCCGAGCGAAGACTCGTGTCGGCCAGAAACTGTCCTCCGGTGAGTCGGTGTTGTTGTTGACGCTTCTATTTGTCCCTTTTGCCCACCGTTCCATGTGCTTATTTGTTTTTTTGTTTCTGCCTCCCCGTGCCTTCCAGAGTGCGAGTTGCAGGTGCGGAACTTCTGGAAGTTCGTGCGACACACCCGCCGACAGTACGGCATCGACAACCGCTGGATCATTAATGCAGATCAGACCCCGCTGTGGCTCGAAATGCCAGCTGAACGCACGGTCGAGGAGGTGGGGGTGCGCTCCGTGCCCATCCGCAGAGGCGGCTATCAGAAGGAGCGCGTGACAGTGATGCTCGCCTGCACCGCCGACGGCGAGAAGCTCAAACCTTGGGTTTTCTTTAAGCGCAAGACAGTTCCAAAGGGGAATTTCCCCTCCGGTAAGCCTTTAAGCTTGTGCTCTCCCGGTCATTTTTGCATGTGTTGTTTTTTTTTTGCAACTAATGCCCTTCTCCTCGTTGTGCGGATGTGCAGATGTCGTGGTCTCCGCCCATCCCAACGGTTGGATGGACGCGGATGGCGTCCTCGCGTGGCTCGACGGTACGGTGGGCCCGTACGTCAACCCGAGGTTCGGAGCGCGCGGCAGGAGGGCGATGCTGGTGCTTGACTCCTACCGCGGGCACCTGACTGATCAAGTGCGTGCCAAGTTTGGCGAGCTGCGTATCGTGCCGGCCGTCATACCAGCTGGCTGCACATCGGAGGTGCAGCCCCTGGACGTCGCGGTGAACCGCTCCTTCAAAGCAGCAGTGCGCCAGCAGTACCAGGCATGGTTCGAGAGCGAGGGTGTTGACTGCCTGACCGAAAGAGGTGAGATTACAATTATAAACCTGATTGTTTTTCTTTCAATTAAGCTTGTTCTAACTGATGGATGTTGATACGTGTGGCAGGGAACATCCGCAAGCCACCACCCGAGCTGACGCTGAAGTGGATCTCCAAGGCCTGGAAGTCGGTGCCCAAGGAGTTGATTGCGCGCGCGTTTCTCACCTGCAGCATCAGTAACGCCTTGGATGGGTCGCAGGACAATCTCCCGGCGGGACGCCGTCAAGGGCGAAGTGGAACTTGACGACGAGATTGCAGCAGATGGATTCTGCTGCAACAACGTAGACGAGCCAGAGTCGGATGGTGAGACCGCCCAGGAGGGAACCGCCACTGCTGAGGAGGATGCCTAGGTTGTGTAGGTAGAGTAGAAATGTTACCACATTGAAAATGTGGTAGAAATTGTAGAACATGCGAAATTGTAGTAGAATAGGTTAAGAAATTGTTGCATAGCAGTAGGACATAAACTGTAATAATTCAAAATTAGAAATGCAGTTAAGAAAATGGGGGCGCTTATAAAATGTACGGTACTAGGGGGGCGCTTATAATCCGTAAGCCAAAAAGGGTGCGCTTATAATCGAGGAGCGGATATAAGCGCCCTCATCCTTTTATAAGCGCCGGCGCTTATCCGAGGCCTGCGCTTCTATCCGGGGGCTTACGGTAGCGCAGCATCCTCAGCTCTGTCACCTCCTCAGGCAGCCCTTGCAGGTTCTCGCACCCATTCAGATAGAGTCGTCTCAGCCTGGACAATCGAAAAAATCCTGAAGGGAGGGAGTAGAGGCAAGTGAGCCCAACATTCAGCTCCTGGAGACAAGTGAGCTGGGTGAGGGAGTCAGGCAGCTCCCCCAGGAACCTGCAGAAGCACACGTCCAGCCTGCGCTACCGAGTCAGAGCATCAATGTCGTCAGGGAGAGGTGCCACGCGAATGCATCCTCTGACCTCCAACGACGTCAAGCACTGCAGCTCACACACTGTCGCCAGAAGCCTTCTCGGCGATTCATTCTCCACTTTCATCCTCCGCAGCTGTGGTAGTAGCAATCCGATGCGTTCTGGGAGCTGTCTCAGCTTGGGGGACTCCAGAATCAGCAGTGCGTGGAGGTGCGGGAGGAGTGGGAAGTGTCAGAATGTGTTATTTGTCTACTCTATAGTGAGTACAGCCCAAATTAGGGTTTGCTATATGTATCCCATTGTTTGCTAGTGAAACCCCTCTTTTCTGTTCTAACTTCTGCCTGCCAGGGCCTCAGATTCACTTTTAGGGACGTTTAAGCATCAGGGTCCCTATTTGAAAAAGCTTGAAAATTAGTGTTCCATTCGAAGAAAAGCCTGAATTTTCAGGGTGTCCTTACAAAGAAGCCTGATTTCATTTTTCCTGATATCATAAGGAACATATCAGCTGCGAGACTCGAACCGGAGACCTCACCCTTCGGTTGAGAATTCATTGACAACTGAGACAATTTAGCTGTCGCGAATTTTGATATTTTATAACTCTACCGTTTGAGAAATGGTTCACAACTAGTAATCTCCGGTGTTTTACAGTAGGGATTCGGAATGTGCATTCAGTGTACACTTCGATAAAAGGCTGGAAAATCAGTCCCCTTAGAGAAAAAAAGGCTGGAAAATCAGTCTCTCAAAAACCTGGACACTGGAAAATCAGTGTAGGTACAAAAATTTACCCTGAAAATCAGGAATTTCAGGGTTTTTTTCCTGATATCTGAGGGCCTGCTGCTTGCTATTCTCAACATGGTATCAGAGCAGGTCGACCCTCCCTGGTCGATCCTGTGGGTGGGCCCACCCGATGCTTCCGCTGCTGTTCTGCCTATCGCGCGCCCCGGGCGCGCGGCGTTTTCTACTTGCCGCTCGCTCGGGGCATGCGGCGTTTTTTCTTCTCGCCGCCGGCCCTCCCGACGCGTCGCCCCGTGGGTCCCACGCAACGCCCTGCGGGACCCACGCGCTGCCCCGCTGGACCCGCCGCCCCCGCTGGATCCGCGCGACGCCCTGCGGGACCCGCGCGCTGCCCCCGTCGACCCGCGCGTCGCCCCAGGGGACCTGCGCACGCTGCCCTATGGAGCCGCGCGCAGTCCCCTGCCCTCGTGCTGTCAGAATTATATATAACTGCATGTAGTTCTAGCTGT